AAGTTATCCCACGTGAGGCAGATTGTGATGAGATTGTCGAGAGACGTGACAAATATTGGGGCTGAAGAGCTAGAGCCAGTGGCGATGCTGCCGGCATTGAGGGAGAAGGGGACTCTAGTGGTGCCGGCTAAGGGAACAGAATTGGTGCCAGCCATAGCTGTGGTGGGGGTTGGATCTTTTTGTTCTGATACCAAGTGAGGCAAATTGAATTGCAGTGATAATACACATTAGTGTTGATCTGTTTATATACACCACGTACAGGTTCAGTTACACCTCAGTATATGGTGGACAATTAATATTAAGGTCCCTAAACCTTCTGCATTTTAGCACTAACCTATAATGCTAGACAGCACTAACTGATGCAACTAATCACAAGATACGTGTTTAACACCCGATGTCGAGACTGAGAAATATGGGATAGAAATGATGCTAGCAAACGTGGTTCAACAAAACCAATTTGAATGATTGGTCACTGAAGGCACTGGAATGCATCTCCACACTTCCAGTGAGATGTGTGATATGATGCATGTGAAGGATGTCAAGCCTAATGCGATCAAGTTGAGACTGTTTTTGGTTTAGCTTAGCGATAGAGAAAAAGAATGCATTATCTAAAGGCGCCATCAATACGTGGGAAGGTTCAATACGTGGGAAGGTTGTTGCAATTTTTTTAGAACTAAATATTTTCCTCGAGCTAAAACAATGTAGCTCTGCACTAACATGTTTTAGGCAGGAATATTGCGAGAAACTAGAACTTTCGTGGGAAAGGGTGAAAAAGGCGTAAGAAATTGTCCAAACCACGGCATGGAGGAATGGCTTATTATCCATGTGATTTATAATGCTCTAAATCCTTTGTCAAAGAATATGTTAGAAACTGCCACATGTGGTGCCTTCATGGGCCTTTGTGCCCAAGAAGCAAAGAAGTTGTTTAATGACATGCAAGAAAACCATGCCCATTGACATGTGGAGAGGTCTTCAACACACAAGGTAAAATATGTTAATGAAGAAAATAATAAAGAGCCTAATGCTACAATTTATAAGCTCTTAGGTATCATAAAACGGAAAGATAATATCCTTATTAGTGACATTACAAAATCTGCTACTAATGATGTAAACTTTGTAGCTCGTGAAAATTATAATTCTGGTTGGAGAAATCAAAACTCATATGAAAGCAATAATCATAATCCCTACACCAACCCTGCATGTGCTCCAAATAAATATAGAACAACAATGGTAATAGCATTGGTAATCATCATACCTTAGAGGAAACTCTAATTCTTTCATTGTTGCTCAAAACTAAGAAAAATAACTCCTTTACCAAACTGCTTAAAATGCATGTTGTTTGCCTCGGTCAGATGACTAGTAATGATATGCAGGCTCTACAAGAAAGAACTCGTCAGGTCGAGACCCTGGTAACAAAGAATGATGAATGCAAACTCTCATCCTAGCAATGTTTGCGGGAAAACCAGAACCAAGTCCAGTCGAATCCGTAAAAATGGTCAGAATTGAGGTTAAATTTAGTTGATTCAACTTTTAAGCAAGCTTCGGGCAGGTATTAAGAAAAATATTGTGGTGAAGATCAATGATTGTACTATAGTTCTTGATCTTTGTTGTAGTTAATATGCCAGAAGATGATAACACACCAATTATCTTAGTTAGACCCTTAGGGCATCTCCAAAACGGACCCTTGTCTAGATCCATCCGGATTGCGCGGCCCAGACGTGTTTTGTCATCCAATGCAGTCATGTATCGGTATGGATGTGCTTTTTACCATAAATTGGAAGCAAACTGGGGGGCTTTGTGAGAGTCCGGACACAAGCCACGTAGGGCTCTGACACCCCCGCCCACTCTCTCTTCCACTCTGCCCATGCTTCAGCTTGCTTTGCATCGGCGCCCTTCTCCTCCACGCCACCGTTATACCTCTCCGGCCGTCACACAGGCATTGCCGGACGTCCGCAATCACCACCCATGCGCCCGCTCACCTTATACTACGGCGTCGTCCACCCAGAATCCGTCCGCAACCAGGTACCCTCTATCCCCCTCCCCTGTCGACAACATCATGTCTGTCACCACACCCGGCAGGTGTTCAATCAAATGCCATTAAGCTTATTTTCGAACTTCATGTTGGTTTTTTCGAGTACGAAGGATGGCAGGGTACTCGAGCATGGAGGATGAGTTGTGTGATCTGTGGTTGGCTGTATCCACGGATTTCGTAGGCAGGAGCAAAGGGGGGCTCTTCTCGCAGTGCGTGCATGGTTCATTTCACGCACGAAAGCACATTGCACCCTACGACATGCACACCATCCATGAACGCGATGTGAAGTCGTTAGCGTATCGGTAGTACACCATCCAGACCACTGTCGCCAAGTTCTGTAAAGTAGTTAATTGGCTAGAGGCAATGTGTCCCATTCATGCGGCAACCATGAAGATCGTACGTTTTGCTTCTTCTTGCTCAAATTGTTGATTGATTCATTCACTCACTCAATGCTTCTTTACACCTTGTGTAGCCTATACGAGTTGTCGTGTTGTACCACAAGGTAGAGGACGGACCATTTACGCAAATACACTGTTGGATGAAGCTCAAGGGGCAGTATGTGTGGGACAATTTGATCCGTTCATGAAAAACTTGTTGAACATCCGCTTAATCTTGTTGGATTTGAACTAATGTTATACTAGATTTATTTGCATACTAAGTATGGATGACTTGTGCTATTTTCTATTCAAACTTTGATAAATTTCATTGTGTTTGAATTTCATCTAGTTAGTTGAAGCCCGGCTTGAAATGTATGTGGATAGTGTTAGATGGCCGCCTACCATGAATTGGTCATGTGTCCATGAACTAGTCCTCCTGTCCACGAACGGATACGTGTCCAGTTTGCAGGTCAACGTTAGAGATGCCTTATAGGACTATCAAGGTGTGGATTGATATGCCCCTTGTCAATTTACGCACCCTTTGTTCATCCATATAGAATGTTTTAGACTGACCATATCTTATATTAACGAAGAGAGGGAGTAGTTCATTTGTCCAAAAAGAAAAGGAGAAAAGTCTATGCTATCACATTGAAGGTGTAACACTATGTCTTGTGGGCACAGTTGAGCCGAAAAGTATTAAAATCAACGCGGTCAAGCTAACGACCGAAAACAAAAGCATTTTATGGGAAACAACCGAAAACATACGACGCATTTGGTCCGATTTGTATTATATATGTGGAGGGTTGAGTGAATATCCGTTCTTTTTGGTTCAGCAATGGGATGCTTTCTCAATTCAAAGATTTTGTCCGATTTGTATTATATATGTGGAGGGTTGAGTGAATATTCGTTCTTTTTGGTTCAGCAATGGGATGCTTTCTCTATTCAAAGACATACAAACCTAGATCGTAGGATTAAGCCATATATAAGTGAACACCAAAAGAACACGGTCGATCCGGCCACCACAAGGCAGTGGGAGAGGGACGAGGCAAGGTGCTCGCGGTGTATGGTCGCCGGAGCTGCCGCCCGTGGCGGCACGGGAGGTCATGGTAGCAAGGGAAGGGGGGCTTGGAAAAGGGGAGTCGGACAAATAGACCGAGAGGAGCGTTTTCACTTCCCACTCAATGCGTCCAGTTTTGGGCTTTGCAAAGCGGTGTATCAGATTACAGCGGGATCGAATCCGACCCAGCTGAAACGTATTCGGGAAGCAATGTAATTTGTAGACAGAGCAAAAGTCGAGAACCAAACGCATGGATAGTGTTTCCTGCTATTCAACCCATGTAGGGCCAGTTCTTTTGGCGGCTTATGTTTCCTACTATTCAACCCATGTAGGCCTGTTCTTTTGTTGGCTTAAAACATAAGCCGCCTCCTCCCTAAGCTTTTTTCTAAGCCGCCTCCCTCATTTATTGAGGCTTCTTAACTAATATAGAAGTCTCAATAAATTTTGAAAGCGGCTTATTTTTTAAGCTAAGGAGAGGTAGCTTATTTTTTAAGCCGCCCAAAAGAACTAGCCTGTAGAATAAACAAAGGGAGTATGTATTTGTTCGTTCTGTTTAATAAAAGATGTTTAGAGATTACACCAATCCCTAACCACTATCACAAAGGTATGAGCAAGCATTTCACACAATGACCAGGCTAATTTGCAAGATGTTTAGTAAATTTGTAAGGTTCACAACAAAGGCATAAACCAGAGAAGTTCAGAACACAAGCTTAAATTTGGAAGGTTAACAACAAACATTTCATTCAAAAATATAATCATAATCTTCTACTGTGTACAAATCCCAGACTGAAAGACATGGCCATATATTCATTCAAAATAACTCTTGTTCAACCTTTTGAATAAATTATTCTATCATATAAATTAATTACTCATCCAAGTCAAAGTATATCCAGCCAAAACTACTAATCGACAAATTGCAACTGTAAGATATGAATAATATCACTCTCAACTGAAACTATTCTTGCCCACTTGTTTTACAACATCAACATCTCAGCCAATGATCCTAGAAAGAAATACGGGAGAAAGTACATGCCAAGTCAAAGTATATCCAGCCAAAACTACTAATCGACAAATTACAACTGTAAGATATGAATAATATCACTCTCAACTGAAACTATTCTTGCCCACTTGTTTTACAACATCAACATCTCAGCCAATGATCCTAGAAAGAAATACGGGAGAAAGTGCATGCCAATTCTCAGTTTCATATATTCACTGCTCTCTCTATATAGAGAGAGAAAGAGATACATAGAGAGAGAGGTGACTCGATTAATGCTGAACCGAAAGGCATGCCAATTCTCAGTTTCATATCTTTCCTTCTGGAAGAATTACTTTACAGGCTGTGATGGTAGCTGCAATTTCATTCAAGATTTACAGAGAAGTGCGATTTACATCACCTCGAATCATGCTTCTGGATTTGAGATTAATAGATTCAGCCTTCTCCAGAGCCAAAAACATGTTGTTCCTTCCTGTTGGCAAGCATTGATCGGTCGAATCCTGGGGCAAGCCAGTGTGGAGAAGAGCTGTCAATTTGTCATCTCACTAAATAGGGCTCTGAATCGTTTATTTTGGCGGTATTTACAGCCTTCTCACTAGACAAACTGCCCATTGCTTTGATACAATCACCGCCAACTTGCCGTGAGGTTTCTGCAGTGTCTGTGGAATGTTGATGCTCATCAGAATGTGTAGCATGCTCCCCCAAAACACCATTGGCCTCGCAACTTGGCGAGCTTGAGGCAAGTGAATCCTTGTGTTTGCTAGCCAGATTAGTCAAACCAGAAATCTTGGCACAAGTAATCCTTGTTTCAATCTTTTGTCTCTTGCGAACCTCCCCATCTGCATGTTTGCCATCCCCCGTGTTTACTAATTTCCGCTTCACTGTGGATATAGTTAAGAGCTCATCGTCATCCACAGGCCTATCAGGCTCCTTGGGTGGCGGATTGAAATCCTCGTCATCATCATCGGCATAGTCCACAAGCCCACCAGATTTAGGCCTGCAAAGATGGGCAAAAAATGACAAAACAGCATCAACAAAATAAATTACATCGCCTGAGAAAAAATTCAAAATCTTCATGATAATATTAGTCCAGATTTTCTAATTGATGCAACAATAGAAAACACCATGGGAACCGACAGCAAGTTTTTTTTGTCGCGTAACCGACAGTCAGTTAAACTGTGTATGAAGAGAATATACCTTGAGGATATGTCACCAGTTTCGCTTCCATTGGCTACATCATCCTTGCTTTCTTCATTATGTTCACTGTGTGCATGTTTAGTCCGCCTTACTGAATCTTCCTCGTCACTAGGAGCAAAAAATTGCACCATCATTAATGGCACATTCTGCAAAGCTATATTGCAAACAAAATAAGCAATCAATGACAAAACAAAACACAGAATACCTCTCATTGAAATAATCTTCCTCTTCCTTCTCAAGACCTCTTCCTTCTGCCTTCTTTCTCATGTCAGGCACACTAGCACTTAATTTCATATCGGCACTCTCCAAGTACTTGCAACAACAAAATGAAAAGAGACTTGATGCAAATACAAATACTAGTAGTAACATAGTGGGGAGAAATTATCTACAAGCTCAACTTGAATGGTTTTCATGGTTTACTTAGTTAATAGTAGAGCTTGTTTGTTCAACCTGCTGGATTTGCCATATTGGTTCGAGCAATTTGTTGGATTTGCATCCTTAACAACCACACACATGGGAAAAAGTAACATACGGAAATATCGAATTAAATCTTGGCCGGTTTTCTTCAAATTTTTAGTTCATAATTCTTAGGGGTTTGTACACTTGTCATCTTCTTTTTCCATGACACAGTGGTGAGATACCCAGTCTATCGTCAAAACAAGATGCGGCGGTGCACAAGAAGATGGTCAACCTGTTGATACTTGAGTTTGAAGGCCTGAATGCTCCCGAAGTGTTCAAACTTCATAAGTTGATCTGAGAAAGACTCGGTAACATAAATAACAAGAGGTTTTAGATTTTCCTGCACAAGAAGAAATCCAATGAGTAAGCTACAATTCATAGTTATTCCGAGAAGTTTTGAAAAATGTACCTTCCGTATGTGTTCCAACAGTTCGAGTACTCCGGATTGTAGCATGTTATATCTATCCCCATTTTCCACAAAGGCATCAATTATTGGTTTCAACAAGTTAAACTTGACAACATGGCGAATAAGATGTTCATCCTAGAAAGAAAATACCAAGTGGTATTAAAATAGATACTTGACTCACTACACAAGATAGTACAGTTTGACACACAGCCCACTGCCCCATTTTATACATAATAAAGGTAAAATGCAAACCTTGAGAACAATTATTTCATGTCCGTGGATTGCAAACATGTGATGACAGTATGACACATAATATGTACTCCCTCCGTTCCGAATTACTTGTCTTAGATTTGTCTAGATACAGAGGTATCTAGCACTAAAATGAGTCTAGATACATCCGTATAGACAAGTAATTCGGAACGGAGGGAGTAGTAAAAGGTGAAGCACACCCAGTCACTATAATCTTTGCTGGACAAGTCAGATGTATGATGCAACAAGCAGCAATACAAATTGCTTAAGGAACCAAACAGAAGTAGTTGAACTACTAGATCAAAAGATCCCGCTATGCCACAGATATATCAAAAGTTTGTAAACTTAAGGGAACTTCCAATTTACCAATAGTTGCTGCCGTCAACAACCCAAGTAACACAAAAGGAAATCGAGAAAAAACTTCGTTACCCACATTTCTGGATATAATAGTGCGCATAAACCTGACAGCTGCAACAACCAAAAACTTCTCGCTTCGTCGAGTCATGGTAAGGATTTTCTCTATCGCATTGTTCATAAGGAAGTTGCACCTACAAGATTATACTCATTTAGCAGGTGTGCGATAAGTGAACAGCAGCAGTATGTTGTTGAAATAAAGTTGGATGGGGCATTACTTAATTCTATAGGGATGATGGACTACACAGAAGCATAATAGTTCGCAGACATTTAACAGAATTTCTGGCTTGATACGATGCACTTCAGTGTTTCCACCAACGAGAGCTGAGTTAGGTGATGTTCGGGTAGCACTCCTCGAAGGACAAGAGGATGCTATTACATCAACCAAATAGTCAAGGTGCCTTTCATAGAAAATCTCAATAATTACGTCTCTCTGCACCAAGGGGAAAGAAGAGTAAGTACCACCAACTGAGCCTAGTTAAAAACAGGTACAGATTTTGGATATCTTGGAGCCGACATCAAGGCGAGCAGATGCAGAAGAATGACAGCAAACTACATCTAAAAAGAACTGAACATAACAACAAAGATGTAAAGCATCAACTTCAGATAACATAGAAACTTGAGGGACACTTCAGACGAAAGTCACTGCCTCAGAACATTGGCAAGTGGTGATGATCGTACAAGAAATATGCTGTCTGTAGATAAACTTTTCTACTTCAGATGAGAATCTTTAAGTGAAATTTGAGGGGTAAAGATAGCATACAACTTCTTAAACCTATTTTGGCCAAAAAAGTAACTTACATGTGCTCCAGACATAGTGAAAGAATCCATTAATATACGGAGGATTTCCAGAAATTGGCAGTGCATTTGCTCACCAAAGTCAGTTACCATTCCTTTAACCTGAAATTTAGTGATTAGCCTTTAAAGTGTGAAGTAAAACATATATTCTAGAAAAGATAGCGATGTGGTTAAACTGTCGATGATAAAAAAAATGCTAATATGATCAAATCACAAAGATGTTTGGTGAATTTTCTGGAACAAAAACAAGATCCGTACTTACAATGGTATATTGGACATGCATACCTGATCTAAAGCCTATTCTTTAAACAATATCAATTTACACCCTTTAAGTATCGCCTAAACCTATTAATTCACCCTCGAATTCAAAACCATTTAGTCTACACCCTCGGACTTCAAAGAAATACCCCCTTAGCCTGAAATCACTGGTTTCAACTGATGGTATCAGAAGTAGCAAAATTGTCGGCTTGGTAATCTGGGAGCTGAGATGATAAGTTTCTTATTTAACTTTTCACCATTGTTGATAAGGTCATAAACACCCCGAGCATATTAATTACTGCATACAGTACTGCAGACCTCAAAGTAACTGCAACTTACCAAAAGTCCAAGAAGAGAATTTCCTTCTTGCTGGACAATATATGACCTCAATAGGTTAGGGTCCTGATTAAGAAAAAGAATAACGATATCCGTCCTGCAATTGTCAAATGAAATGCAAAGAGTTTAGAAGAGAAAAGGCTGCATCAACAATGAGAGGGTGATTCGGCGCTTCATAAGTACCCAGCCGAAACAATTTTTCTGTCTTGACTCTGCAACACATCAGATACAATTTCAAATACACCTTCACCTGAAAGATCCCTGAAGAAAATAAATAGTTAGCTAATAAATTTATAGCAGCAAGTCCTACAGTTCAATAAAAGTTTGCAGGAAGCAACATTTTGAGAAGAGAAAAAAGCAGCAGCTTCATCCTTCAAAATTGATTAGAGGAATGGATAGGTCTGTGCACTCTATTATAGAGAATGGCCGCGCATGCACAGAGAACATTACAAAACATCTCAAAAACACGGATACGCTAGGCAAGTAACGAATCTGTATCCGGTAAGGGTGCTCTTCCGATATATCCTATGTGTATCCGACATTTAAACAACAAAAATAACTGTTTAGTACTGATGCACGATGCATACTCCCAGAATCAACTCTGTTACAGCCCAGCCCAGCTATCTTCCAACCCTAGGCCCGATACCTCTCAGTTAATCCATTCCGTCCCAGCCCTCCCGACCTAGCTGGCGGCTCATCCAGCGGTGGCAATGGTAGGGGCAATGGTGGCAGGCCGGCGGCGTGCACCTGTAGTGCTGCGCTTCTACTTCCTCACCGTCTCACGCAGCAGCCAGGTAAGCTTCAGTGCTCCTTCAGTAGCTGCTCACCGGCTTCCTTGCCTCCCCCTCTTAAGCAGCAGCAAGGTAAGCTGCTCGCACGCTCTTTACCTCCCACTCTATTTTGAGCAGCAGCAAGGCAATCTTCCTCCCTGCCCACCCTCACCCCCCTCTCATCTAGAGTTCTTGCCCAGGACGTAATAGCTGTGAAAATGGATTGGAAGCAATGTTTTTAAGGCGGCGATTCAAGATAAGGCGCTGGGTGGGGGTGGGGGGCACCTCACCTTTTAAGCACTTAAAGCGTAAGGCGAGGCGACGCCTTAGACACATACATATATAATATGGCAGCCAATTAGGAGATTTAACAGCTACCATTAATAAGAGTAGTAAATCTTTCCTCTCTAAATCTGGCCAGAACCCATACTTCCAAGCTGGATCATTGCATGTAGCTCTTCTCCTAAGATCATTCCGATAGATCCTAAGCATTACCAGCCACAGGATCCATCAGAGCAGGCACACTTGGCTACTGCAGCGACACTAGGAGAAGGGTCAATCGGCCGCCAGAGAAAAAAGAGAAGAGCCAACAAGTAGAGCAACCGAAGCAGATCTGGGAGGAAACAGATGCGGAGACGAGAGAAAACAGAGGCAGGGAGCCTCCCTCCCTCCCTCCCTCCCTCCCTCCCCTCCTTCCCTCCCTCCCATAAGGGCAGACGACTTGGATGCCCTAGCGACTAAGGCGGACGCCTTCCTCTGCTGTCTAAGTCAAGCTCGACGCTTTGCTACCTGGGAGTGCCCTGACGCCTAAGTGTACCAAATTACAAGATATTGTTTAGCAAATCTGAAGCTAAAAGGCAGCAAAGTAAAGCATTGGGATGCCAAAGAGTGCATAGAATGGCACCACCACCTCAGGCATACCAGTATCATATGTTCTTTTTTTTAAAGGCAGTATCATATGTTCTATTGCAAAAGACAGGATAAGAGGGTTAAAACTTCAGACATCAAAGCAGCGGCGGATGTCTTGTTTATAAGCACATCTTACTCAAGCAAAGTCACACAGTTGTCAAAGATCCAGTACTGTTGCATGATGCACTATGTTTACAGGTACAGCCTATATGCATAAGTAACACAATAAACATTTATCTTAACTAGGCAAGTTAAGACAAATACTACGGCACAAGGACAGAGTGCCCTCCCCATTTGAGTACAGTTAAAAACGACCGAATTCATAAGCAATGTGACATTAGTCTGTCTAATCCCATCCACTCCTCCATTCATCCTCTAACCTCTTAGTTTCCTCCCAATCCCCTACTGATGTGCAAGTCCAGATATCCTCCTGTGCAGTAGTACTGATCATATACAGTACATCAGAAATTTTTACAGTGGCATGCAATGAGCAGGTGCAGTGTGCTCATTGAATTGAAAACCAGAAGCTTGCGAAGAACTTAACCAGGGACTCGGCTACGTATGATATTGGCATAACTATCCTCTGGTTTGAGCTGCGTACAGCAAACCACAGAGTGAAACAAGAGTTTTAGTTAATAGCCATGCATCACAGTTTGCATATTTGAAATTTTGGCACGTCTGGAGTTTGTGTTGTGTTATTATGGCTTGTGTGGTCTAGCTAGAGGGCATAGGACGAAAAAGAAGAAAACAAGTATATACCGAAACAGTCGTAGTTGTTGTACAAGCGGCAAACTCTTACTAAGAGTGCAGAACTCATGCAAGAACAGGACCTGCAAGCACCAGAAACACCATTGTCAGACGCGGAGCATTAATAACTTCTCCACATTCCAGTAACTGCAACAGCTATATGCATGTAAAAGCAATTATCATCTGGATCATCTCAACCTGAAAACAGAACAGAACGCAAATGATGTAGTTCTTTAAAATGGCATTGAGCTGAGCCCCAGACCACATATTAAACCACACATCACAGTGCATCTATCTGAATTTCTCTAAATACTACGCAGGACACAGAAACTCCAACATCCTGCAGAAAATGAAATAGTCTAGATGACTATCAAATTTAACAAACTGCCAACTAAGCTCCCACTGTTGAGAAAAATCACCAATGCATCAACGAAGCTCACAACAACAGATTTTGGTCCTTCATAATCACGTGCACCGCTAAATATGATATTCCTCTAACTCACGGAGAAAATCGTATCAGTCAGCTACATTTTACAGTGCCCAAACTAAATTCCTTTGTAGCAATGACACAATGTGAAGGAATTGATAATAATCTCTATCAATAAACAGATTTGATAATGAAAAGGATACTTAATGGGATCAAGCCATAAACTCGTCTAACAAAAGATAAGAAGAATGTCTCACCAATTCTCTTTTCGATTCCATAGAAATATTTGGTGATCTCATCCTAGAGAATAAGTCTTGGATAAAGCAAGCATCATCCTTCAGTAAGGAGATAACCTACAGACAGATTATTCACTTGTATGTGACAAAGAATAAAGAAATTGATGAGGACACGTCAACACTAGGTCAAGGCTGAAATACTAACAGCAGCATTGTTCGTGTGTATCATCGTGTTAAGACTAGCCAGAGTGGCATCATCTAATATTCGGGGTAATATAACATCCTGCAGATGCCAAAATGAGCACAATTTTAAACGCGCAAAGCAAAGCAGTATCAAGTCTCCACAAAATTCCATCATGTAACAAATCAAGTGAGAAATGTGACTGACCTTTAGATACCCTATTCTGTACGTTTGATGTATCCTTGAAACCACAGAAATATTTTTAATAGGTATGGCCTGTAGAAAGAAAAAGCTTTTACTAAATATTTATTATTCAAGATCGTAAGGAGTATAAAGATCAACACACCTCTTTGAAAACTACATGATCCTTCAGAAAAATGCGATGCTTTTGCACTTTAGCAACCTCTGGATCATCTGTACAAATTATTAAATTCACTAAAATTAGTAGAAAAAATTGAAGCAGCCTCACAGGCTATCAATCAAAACCAATCGTATATAATTTCAAGATATGTAGAGGTTATGTGTTAAGAGTACGTAATGGGACTAATGGGCCCGGGCTGGCGGTATAGCCCGTTAGTCTTAGGGTTAATTAGAGATAAGGGTCGCTTGCTTAGGGGTCAAGTAAGCCTTGCTGGGGAGTCAAGTAAACCTCTCTATATAAGGGGAGAAGATGTATCAATCTAATCAAGCAAGAATTAAGAAGGAAATCCCTTCCCTCTTGCCCGGCCGTGGGCAAAAAGGCCCCCGGCCGGCCCTCTCACGCCCTCCTTCTAGCAGCGCCATAACAATTTGGTATCAGCTTTCCCGGATTCGATCATGTCCAGCCCTCCACCGAGTTCTTCCCACCCGCCGCCGCCGCACACCTACCCGCCGCCACCAGCGTCTTCATCGGCGCTGCTGCCCCACACAGCAGGCGCGCCGACATTGGGCGTGCTGGAATCCTCGGGGGCGATTGCACCCTCTGCCCCGGCGCCGTCCGCCCTCGTCCTCACCCCGGAGCAGATGACAGCTGCAATCCTGGAATTACGGCAGGCCGTGGCGGGCATCAGGGCCTTCCTCGTCGAGCCCTATGCGCCCCAGCTGCATCCCCAGCAGCCACCTCCTCCGCCGCCACACCAACAGCAGCTACCCCCGCCGCCGCCGCCACCCTCGGACGTGACCACGGCGCCGGTCATCTCGTACCAGTATGGGATGCCCTACGACGGGACTGCGACGACCTCGTTCCCATCAGCGCCGCCGCCGTCCCAAGGCGTCCCCATCCAGCAGATCAAGTTTCCGCCGTCGCCGTCACCGCTTCCGGCTTGGATCGCTACCCGCCACGTGTCGGCGGCGGTGAGGCTGCAGGCTGCTGCGTGCGGCCTCCTAGCGCGTCGGCGTGTGCGGGAGATGTGTGGTCTGCAGCTGCCGCTCCTCCCAGTTGCGCTTCGCTGCGCAAAGGACCTCGATCTCGTCCGCTGCGTCGGGGATCTTGGGCATGCGGTTTTCCCCGCGGGCGGCGGGCATGCGGTTTTCCCCACGGACAGCGACCTCAAAGTCTGCGACATCGGCGGTTGGGGGCGCACCCCTCCTCGCCATTCTCCATCGAAAGCCCTCCACTCTTCTCTGTGCGGTGCAGACCAACAGTCGTCCGGCGGGGAGAAGGCATGGCGTCACTGACAGGAGCGCACCGCGTAGCACCACTGCATTCCGCCGCCAGCCGCCGCGAGGGCGCCTCTGCTGGTCGCTCTTGCGACCACTTCCAGGTGGCCATACACATGCACTCCTTTTGTCCAGATGGTGTCCATGGGATCCAGGTGGCTGTACACGTGCACGTCCGACGTGCGGATGGTGTCCACTTTATGTTCAGGGGTCCAAAATAAAGTGTCCCAGTCCATTTCAGGTTGAGAGTAATAAAACAAGCCGAGATGTAAAAGGCTTGTTTTTAGGTGTTAGGTTTGTGTTGCGTCGAGTCATGGTTATAAGTTGGTTAGGTTGCAGCTCGAGGACAAGCTGCATGTCCAGGTGGGGTGTAGTGTTAGAGTACGTAATGGGCCTAATGGGACTGGGCTGGCGGTATAGCCCGTTAGTCTTAGGGTTAATTAGAGATAAGGGTCGCTTGCTTAGGGGTCAAGTAAGCCTTGCTGGGGAGTCAAGTAAACCTCTCTATATAAGGGGAGAAGATGTATCAATCTAATCAAGCAAGAATTAAGAAGGAAATCCCTTCCCTCTTGCCCGGCCGTGGGCAAAAAGGCCCCCGGCCGGCCCTCTCGCGCCCTCCTTCTAGCAGCGCCATAACATTATGGGAGAAACAGGAAGAAACAAAGGACTGGAGGAGAAATCATACATTCAAGGGCGCCTATGATGTCAAGAATAAACTCATCAGAGAATATCTTATCAAAGATCGATGGGCTGTTCAGCAATACTGCAGAATGAAAATGACAATAAATAACAGTCCAAAATATTCTACCGAACGCATTCCAATACTGATATGTACTTACTGATTCCCCTGACTAATTTGAATATCATGTGGAGATCATCTAAATTCTCTAAATCCTCACACATTCTAAAAATATCCAGCAGCTTGGGGAAAAAATCACGCTGAAACAATGAGAATTTGTAACTTGATTAGTGTAAGACTTCATGTTGGACTGCGAATAATCATATCCAAGAAAGAGAGAATGAATTATCATTTTCACGCATCTCATAATGTTTCTTCTACATTTTATGTTCTGAATTCTGATACATTTCAGGCTAATGTTATTGACGTAGACGGATAACAATCAATGTCAGCAATAAGGAAGCATGGATTAGTTATTAACCAATCCTTATTAAGACATGTAAGGTAGCTAAGTAGCAAAAAGTCATTCCACCATCATGGAGCATTATGAATCCATGATGGCGCAACTGAAGGTAACATCTTAAATTACCCAGTAGATCAGCATTGCATTTTCTATCTAACTGATGTCCAACAAAGTTATCTTGTGAAAACAAATCAGAAAGAAGACTCTCAAGCAAACATCTGTGTATAAATGGAATAAAGCGGATCCAAAACACCAGTTCCTACATCAAAATATTGATTAGACGATAAATCAGAAAGTCTCTCGGGATCTACTGTGCAAGAATCATCTGCAGAACAGATCATCATACAAATTATTCTGAAAGAACTTCAAGTGAAATCATTTCATTTTAAATCTCAAACACGGTCACTTCCATTGGTAGACACCTAACAACAAATGGAGCAAATGAGGGCATACCAAAAAAAACTGCTACAATTGCGCCAAAAGTGCTCTTTAAACAGGTAAAGCAGTGTAGTTGCTATGTAAAATAAATGCCGGGCACAGCACAAAGAGGTCTCCTAAACAAATAGGTCATGTAACACAAAAAGAGGTGATTTCAATTTTCATTTTAATCAACCCAAGAAGGGAGCAGACTAATCACTAATCCCTTTATAGGATTTTCTCACAGCAGGTGGGCTTCCCAACCCCACAATTCTTCTGAGGGAGCAAAGATGAGTTTCGCGTTAATGATTAAATGAAATGTTTGTTCTACCAAGAAAATTGGTACACTAGCTAATGACAGCAAAAATATATGGTACATGGGACCATGCCACACCCAAAGACTAGATACTTACATCTTGTGTTATCAACTCGGCCACACGCATTTGATCTGTAATGCCACCCTCCAATATAGTCTGCAGATTTTCATCAGCGGTATTGTAACAGTATAATAGACCTTTTTTGCAGCAGAAAGTACAGGTCATACAAGAGCCTAACCGTAAATCATTAGATAGATTAATATAACGACGGTAGTATCATTAGTGTTATCAAAAATGTCTTCAATAAGCAGGCAAACTGTCCTGCTCTCAGTTATGGTACATATCAACAATACTGACGGCAAACATCAACAATTAGATCTGAAGATAAGGAAATAAATCTTTGGCCCCCGCATTAGTGGATGACTCAATAAGCCAGAACAACAAGCAAATGCTTCGAGATTTGAAGACTAGACATGTATATTCATCAAATATGAACTTTAAAAACATGATCAGGCAAAGAACTATCCCCCACGATACAAGATAAGCACTCAAGTTACTACTGTCACAATAAACTGTTGAAAAGTGAATGTGAAGTATTAAAACCCGGAAAAAGGGGAATAAATGTTGCTTTGCACATGATAGATGAAACTGATAACAATAGTTTTATATGAGAAGAGTACAGAATAAAGTTGACCTTCAAAATCAAAGGAAGATTGGACAAATCAACAGGTGGAAGTTCCCTCAGTTCACCGTTAACAGAGCGAAAGGACTCATCTGCAAGGAAATCCAGAGTTAGAAACACACTGCTATCTGGGGAACACCAGGTGCAAAGCTACACAGCAAGGTCTGCCACAGCATGTTCGTCAGCAACGGTCAGGATACAGGGTGAACTTTCAATGTATAATAGTGTGGCGAACAGAAATCGAGAAGAAACCAGGGAAACAAAAGGTCCGCAGCGAATGTGGACCGATAAGACAGTAGGATGGCTCTAGCTCTCAAGCTTTAGTGGATTCTCAGTGATCACACTTCAGGAATTGACAGTGGAGAGCTATGACTGTAAATATTGGGAATTTTGACACAAGAAAACTGGGATGGGGGCTTTCCTGTAATCCGACCCAGTCTCTTCAGATAGGGAATTTGAACCCAAACCCTTCAATCTGAGAGGAGCTAGCCAGGTAAGTGTGCATCCGGACGAGTTCTTACAGGGGGGTTAATTTTCATTTATGCCCTTGATGTCTCGAGCACATGCTATACTCACATGCACCCCGGGGTATTTAAGGACATAGTGTGTCAAGTGTATTTCCACCTTTGACTGCATTGACAATACCATAAATGCTATGGTTACAGGTACAAGTACAACGCGGCGATACATGAAATAAATTTTAGGGCTTCCAATCATATGTGAGCAAGTTCTCCAAATATTTAATAAGAGCAATATTTACAGTGTAACACATATATAGCAAAATGGATCTACCATGTGAATGCAATACTCTAGAGGCTTCTAGATGTTCCGAAGCTGGACGAGGACCAACTTCAAGACCTGCAGGACATTAAAGTAAAACAGTGTAGGAATGATATGAACGACAGCAAGCTTTAAGCAACTCACCGCCAAGGTTACTAAACTGAAGGTTTCTCTGAATATCACAGATGTTGTCCCTGCAGAGACTCACCAGGAATACAAAATAAGACATCAATAAGGAATAATTAAAGAAAAGTGATAGTTACACTAGGGTTCCTTTTCTTGAACTACCATATGTAGGAGCACCCTGCAGCCTCCTGAAAGCTCAATGCTAATTCTGTTGCTGCTTCTGGATCCCTCCATGAGATGATTGTTTCTAATATAAAATTTAAAAAAAAAAAGCATAGCACGTCATGTAACGATATAAATGGTTAGCTCAAAACAGATAAGGAGTGCAATCGTTCACCTTCTTGCTTTCTGTAGATATCTTCAGATGTAATATTGTGGACAAGCAGTGTTTCGTTGTCTTCTTCATCCAAAACAGTCAAACCAGGTTCTTTTGAACCCTGGAATCAACCCGCAGTTGACCCAGTTAACATTAAAAAAATGGAAGCCTACAAACTGGATATTAACAGAACAACATGGACGTATTAACAGAACAACATGGTGCCATACAGCAGGACAATGCATGACTGAGCTTACAAATTGGAAGCCTACAAACTGGATACTCATGACTAAGCTTCCTGATGGCATATTAACAGAACAACATGGTGCCATACAGCAGGACAATGCATCTACACTATATTGACCACGGCTTACTGTTCGATAAATCACCGCCACTAGATGTGTTAACAGCATACTCCCATTCAGGTTTATAAGTCCCATACACAAAGGAAGACTGGCCATTAATTTGATCAACAAAATATGAGTTCTATGCCACAAAAGTTATACCGCTTGGAACTTCTTTTGAATATGAATCAAATAATATACTTTTGTAGCATATTGGTAATATTTTGTTGATCAATTTTTTTAATAAATATGAGCCTTATAAAACCAAACAGAGACAGTACCAGGTAACTATAAGTCTATAACATAGACCCAATTTGTTGTGCTAGACAAAACGGCTCACCGGTAGCTGTGTGAGTTTATTCATATAGTTTAAATGACATTGGAAACCATGTAAAACCAAGGAAGGAGTGCTAGCAGCTCTTGGTTAATCCTTTCGGGAAGCAAGGATTGGAGCCACAATAAGCTGCTCAGTCACATTCTTAGGCTTTGCAAATATTGGATGAAAAATCAAAAGTACAACAGACAAACTAAATTTACCCGGCAACAAAAAAAAATAGATAGTGAACAAAGTATCAATTTAACTGAATAGAACCATATATAAGACAAAGTTTTCATGCATACTTGATCCATACCTTAAGGTAGTTGAAAGCAACATACTGGCTCATACCTCGATGTAGTCAACAGCAACGTGCCCTGTCCCCTGATCATCCCATTTGCCTCCATCCCTCAAACGGTACACTTTCACACGCTGGAACAATTACAAGATGTTGATACCATATTTTTTATATAATGTGACAATAATATACATTGAAACGGAAAAGATACTGCCCGTAAAATGTACTGTTTGAGGGATGGAGGCTTTTTGCCGTATCCACGAGTTAAAGCACATTTGCTTAAAGTATCCATGAGGAGATATCACTCGTTTGGTTTGATGGTGAAGAAGGTCGGCGATAGCCAGATACCTGGGAATATTCCTTCAAAAGCTGGATCAGTCGAGCCGCGAAATTTTGGTGGATGGCGCAACCACCCACGCTGCGGTGACTCAGACCCCACAAAATGTTTTCATTTCTGTTCTCACCCCTCGCAAACAGAACACCCTCTCCACAATTTCCTTTCTCTCCTCACGGACAAGGCAACGGCAGCGGGTACGATTTGGATCGACGGCGACGCATTTGAGCAATGGCGGCGGCGCGGTCAAGGTGCATCTGCTTTCTCCTCTCTTTCCCCTTCCTGAGCTCTACGCATGTGAGCAAGGACGGCTAGGAGATGGCAAGCTGCGGCGCGGGGAATGGCAGGGCTGGCGGCGTGTGCTGTGCCTGTAGGCCGACACTGACCAGTGGATGGTACGACAAGGCCAACGACGCATTTTCCCTGCCTGGTAAGGCCCACCTCCAGTGCAACCTAGCAAGAGCTTCATGGCCGACGGTGTACGGCAGCGGTAGGTCTACGGCCTCAGGCGAGCAAGGTCCGGTGGTGCACATCGAGTTGCGTCTAGAGTAGGTCCGGTGGTGTGCGGACGCCTGGGCAATTGCCTCCACACCTCCGGCGACCCCTAGTTCATGGAGCAGGTCGAGGCTGACCTGAAGATGACATTCTTCCGAGTAGCATATTTGCATCTGGCTGTGACATTAGCAAAGACCATCTTTGAACTGGCCATTGAATACATCTTCGAATCTGCTAACGTATGCCTGCCATTGAATACATCTTCTAATCTGCTGACATATGCCTTGTATGATGTAGCTGTGACAGTATTTTTGTTAGATTGAGTTGTACTCATAGATATGTTTGAACCATGGAGTTACAAATCCCATGCATTTTTTGGATGGTGGTGTTGACCTATTCCATGATACATTTTGTATAACTAGTTGAGGGTAATCTTACCCTCTCATAGCAAAGAGGTCATCACAACAAGATATTCATCTCTCACCCTTCTAACTTCTAACCAAACATAAAATTGACTACCCCTAACAACCTCTCAATTTACAACCAAACACAATAAAGATGATACTCCCAACCACATAGTCAGGGATATCCTCAGCCAAGCCAACCTTATTCACGAACCACATGGATAGCTGGTATACTTTGCAGGTATTTGAGCTTCAGATATGGGAAAAAATAAAAAGTAAAGTAGACCTTGGTGTCAATTTTCCAACATTACCAGCTTTTCTCTTGCAAGATTCCTTGTTCATTGATGAGAGTATGCATATCATTCAGCAAAGGCATAGTATGAGGTAATAAGATAAATGTCCCTTAAAGTTGTATAGAGTTACCTATACTGTGCATACTTCCATTCTAGGAAGTAGGAAATAAGATACCCTACTACAACCTACCCAATCTCCCTCACATAACCAGTGACAACAATGATTTCAAAGGCAACGCTTCATCCAGTGCTTAGTTGAGATAATTCCTCAAGCAAACAATGATGATCCTCAAAATTGACTTACAAATATTCAGACCATCGTAAATGTTTGCCATGTAATAAATCAAATATGAACGTCCCAGAACCTAGTGGAGACGCACTTCTCCAGAACCTTCTAATTTCATGCAATTTGCATCTATGGTGATGGTTAGGCCAGTGATTATGTATGGCCTTGTTTTTAGTCTAGGATACAAACAGAAAGGAGTGACTGTGTGTTGCATTGTTTTCAGTCTCAGATACCAACAGTAGATAATGAATAAACCTCTTTGTTTAAAGATGCAAATTCTTTCTGCCGGGGAGTCAGATTAGGACAATTACACGAGGCCCAAACTTCTCTCTTAGCAGCACCAATTTCACTGGAAGAACGTCAGGCAGAGTAACTCTACAGTTAAGCATATGTAGTTAGTTCAGCACACATAGCAGACTGTGAACCGAGCAAAATACAATGCCTCCATTCCCTCGTCATCGTAATCACCTGAGTAACTTCCCTTCCGCGTTAGGGATAAAGTGACCCAGCCCTGGATAGAACACAAAACTGCCCGATGCTAAAGCATTAAACTTGGATCTAGGGCACGTGCTGCTTCAATGAACTTCCTGCCTCCCCTATCCATCCGCATGACGTATTCAAGCAACAGCGAGTTAATCGCAACACGCAACCACGCGCACCCAGGTTAGGCTAACAACCAGCCGCTAAGTGGATCTACACATCTAGTTAACCAGCGATAGAAGCTTCGAGGACCCTGTATGGCAACCGAGAAGTCCGGAGACCTCACCTGCATGTTGCTGCTGTGCGCTACCGCCGCCGCCGAAGCCGAAGCCTCCCGCTGCTCCCCCATCGCGCCGCAGTTCCCTCCGTCGCCTTCCGGGGCCGCCACAGAGATAGAGGGAGCCTCCCTGCCGCCTAGGGGGACGAAGGAGCCTCTTGCCGCCGGGTCGCTTCGTCAGCGGGTCGAGGACGCAGGCTGCGAAACCCTAACCACCATCGACGAGCTGCCTCAAGGCCTTTCTTCGCCCTCGCTTCTCGCGGCCTTGAGGCGTCGCCTTTCCCCTTTTGCCCCCTCTCGTTTTCGCGAATATTTTGTGTTCGTTTGCTTACCGACCCCCGCAATAGACAAAGAATTGGGTGTTGGTGTTCTAAAAAAAATGCTCCTCGAGTAAGTTAGGCTAGCTATAATGGGATAACATAAGCGGTATCATACACTTGTGACTCTATGTGACAGAGAATTAGAGAAGAGAAAGGGGATTATAGTAACATAGGTAGATAACGTATCTTTATAAATATTAATGCTACTATGTGTCATACATGGCAATAAATGAGACCATCTATGATACTAATATATGATACTATACATTATGGATGTAATATCATACACTAATATCATATGCATGATACTAGTATATGATACTCTTCACTATAATCAGCCTTAAATCGTTAAATGCTCACTTGAAATTACTAGGGTCACTCCCACCTCCTTGAGTGATGGCAAAGTGGCGGAGTGTATATACCACATGGTATGTGTAGCTAGCAATTTCATATTTGAATTTGAGTCATGATACTTTATGGCATCTCCAACGAACCCTCAAAACGTCTGCACATGATCCCGACTCCGGAAGTCATCCAATACAAGCTTGTATCGGTCTGCTGAACGGTCCGGACCATGTTTTTCCCGCAAATTGGAACCAAACATGGAAGCTTTGCGGGAGTCCGAACACAAGACACGTGTAACATCCCAAATTTTCAATTTGGAATGTTATACACTAGATCATCAATGCATATCATATTTTATTTGCTTTTGGCCTGATTCAAAAATTCTATGCAACTCAAGGACCCACGGAGAGAGTTGGGGATTTCGTTATTTTCATATTTGGGTTCTCTCAGATTTTGAAAATAGGATCATTTGATTTTATTTATTTTATCTTTAATTATTTCTATAATAAAAATATGAGAGAGGAAATAAAATGACTTTCCCAAAATAAAGAAATATTGAAGGTTTAATAAAAAATCAAGTAAGATTTTATTTCAGATTTTCTCGCTATTTTATTTGAATTTAGGAAAAATTGCACGATTTCAAAACTGCATTTTAGGGCTAAGAAAATGGTCACCCTGTTCTAAATTTTTTAATTAGATGATGAAAATTTGTTTTGGCATTTTTAGATTTTATTTATTTTTCTAGGATTTTCTTAGTTCAACGGGATTATTTATAAAAAAAACTCCCGCGTGCCCGACTGGGCCGAAGGCCCAGCCGAGCCGGCCCAGCCGTCGCCGTCTCCCGCACCGGATCGGGACCGGAGTCTCGATCGCCGCCGTCGCCCGAGTCCGGGAGGAGCACGCCTCCCGAGGCGCCCCTCTCCTAAGCCAGGACGCCCCCCTCCTTTTATAGCCGCCGCCACCCAGCCTCGCCTCACCCCACCCCGCCACCTCGCCAGCCCCGCCGACGCAATCGCTCGCCGTCGCAGCCGCCGCTTGACGCGCCTGCCCGCCGACGCCTGAAGCCCCGCCGGAGCCGCCGGACTTCGCCGGAGCCCCGACGAGGTAGCCGCCCGCCGCCTCCCCGGTTTTTTAAGAAAAACCGATTCGGTTTTTTTAGAAAACCCTAGGTTTTATTTTTTTTCTAGATCGGTTTATCGGTTCTTTTATTTAGCGAGCATTCGCTCGTTCATTCGTTTTAACGAACGCGTTCACCGCTTAGTTTCGGATAACGAGCGTTCATTCGTTAATCTGCTCGTTAGTTTTTCTTTTTCTTGAGTTTTTCCGCGATTATTTTCTATCGCGATTTCTGATCCGATTTTTGTTCTAGTTTATCTTTTCGCTCGTTTATCGAAATCAGGCGATTCAAGCGCCTGGAGTTTCGTCTCGAAACCCTCTTTCCGTTTAACCAACTCAAACAAGTTTTTGCATCTGTAAAATTTGACCTAGATCCAGATTAGTAAACGAAGCTTGTTTCTTTCGTCGTCTGACTTTCGTTGCGTCGTTTGATTTGAGTTTTTTTGAAACCGGAGTTCTTAAGTTGAACTTTCTGGTTAGATTTCTTATTTGAGTTTTACCCGTGCATTAGATGAGTACTTATTGTGTGCTTGTTTGTTTGCGATAGAGTATCCGGAGTGCGCCGCTTACTACTTTGAATCTCTAGGTATCGCGGATCATCAGCAAGGCAGGTAACACTTCGATCATACCTCTTTACTACCCAGTTTTTATTGCATTAGATCGATCCTCAAACAATTGCATGATTAGGATCTAATTAAAATGTGGGTTTTGGGAAGTAGATGAGGTAGTACATATTACCTGTTTTATTATCAAACCCTTGGGAGTTACTCTACGTTTGCTTATTATGCCATGCTATGCTAGTAGACGTGGATTGGGTGAGTGTATCCATGACAGATATGAGATTGTTAATTAATGGTTTATTTAAGATGGCAACTTTAATACACATCTGGGTGGATTGAGGCACCTGGGTATTCCAGCGATTGCCTGTTTTTCTTTATGGACCGCCACCCAGGCTTAAAGGAATCATGAGATTATTCATGCTAGAAACTTCCGTGTGCAGCCACAAGCTACTATGGGCTCTAGCATAGTTGATTAAGTCGTGCGAACTCTTACAGTGGTAGACTAGCATCGTAAGGTGCTAGCGCTTCTGAAAGACTATGTCTCGGTCATCCGTTTCTCAAACACCATGTAGTACAAGAATCCCAACGGAGGAGATCGAGTCTTGTGGGGAAAGGTGCGCAAACCTCTGCAGAGTGTATAAACTAATCATGATTACCCGTGTCCCCGGTTATGAACGTTTTGAGTATCTAGTATTTGGATTATCATGTGAATCTCATCATGTTACTTTAATTAATTTTGTTGGGTTTTAATGATGATGTTTAATTAGGATTGAGAGGATGTCTATCTTCTCAATGTTTAACAACCACCATGATAGTTAAATAAAATTTATTCCTTTGCAGTAGGGAAAAACTGGCTTTACGCAAAATTGTAACCATAGAGCTTTTCACCAGCCATATATGCATGTAGTATAGCCTATTCTGTTCACTACTCTCTATGTGTTACATTGCCAGCATATTCCATGTGTTGGCCCGTTTTTGGGCTGCAATATTCATGTTGCAGACTTTTTAGACGACGAGTAAGGTGCCTTTAGGCCGTGGTTCTATACTCAGTGATGCCGTTGGAGTTGATGGACTCACTTATCTTCCAAGCCTTCCGCTGTTATCGTTATTAGATGGCCTTAAGCCATATTTATTGTAATAAGTTCTCTTTTGAGACATTCGACATAATAAGTGTGTGATTGCTACCCTGTTATAAATCCTTCAAGTACTGTGCATGTCAGCATTACTGATCCAGGGATGACACTAAAGCACAGAGATCGGACTGTTTGAGGTCTGGTCGCTACAAGATGGTATTCGAGCACACGCTGACTGTAGGGCACGACCACTAAGCTAAAAGCCCTAGATCACTACTCACTCTTCTCATTTCTGACTCCTCATCTTTTCTACTCTTTTAGGATGGCGGATGCAAGGAACAAGTTCACGCAACCGGATGAAGATACACCCTTTGAACGTCACTTGAAGGAAGTCACTAGATACCTGAACATCGGAGTACCAAGCTTCACCGGGACCTACAACACCACTTTACCTGAAGAGGAACGCTGGATGATTCAAGTTTAAGTTTCAGGAAGGACGTTCATGCCTGTCACTGAGCCCATAGAGTTTTCCTTTGATGCACCAGCCTGGAGTCTAGGAAAGAGCATGGCAGCCCACATCACTATGGGGCACATTGGAGAAGTTTACCACAAGGATCTCAAGGATACTATCTACCAGATTTGTGGGCGCCGAGATGAGCAATGGGAGATGACCAGCACCAGGAAGGATAGATCAATTGCAGCTTTCATCCAGGAGTTAAACCAGCACATTCGACGCCAGGAGAACCAGATGTGCACAGGCATGATAGACCTGAAGAAGGCCATGACCAAGATCACGGAGCTGGAGGAAGAACTCAAGTCTACACGCGATGGATATGAGGAGGAAATAGCAACACTAGTGGAGAAGAATGATGATCTGAAGAAGAAGCTAAAAGTGTTCATGGGATTTCCCGCAACTAGAGGAGAAGATGATTGCACTTGTCCAGAGAACTACATCATCATCGACGACACCGACTCGGACCCAGACGGTAGCGATGATGACTATGTTGATGAAGCTAGAGCAGATATCATGGAGTCTTCATCGGAGCAGTTTTTCTAGTCGACCACCATATCAGTAGTAGTATTCTCCCATGTATCTAGTATAGCCCGAGCACTTTTGTAACGATAAATAGACCGTTGTATGCCCTTGTTTGATTGAATGAAGTGATTTTGTTTACATTTGCCTCATGTGCATATGGGTAGTGTTTTCTCTCTAGACCTCATTCTATCCTATATTCTCATCTTTTCTAAAACCATCAGATGCCTCCGAGACGTGACAATGGATTTGCATTTCCACCGGAGCTCACTCAGTTGATCCAGCAGCAGAATACGTTGATGCAGTTGCTAGTCCAGAATCAGAATTAGAGGAACAACAACAACAACCCACCACCGCCACCACCTGTTGATCACTTAACCTGTTTTCTTAGGCTGAATCCGCTGGTGTTCTCTAGTAGCACCGAGCCTATAGTAGCAGATAATTGGCTCCGCAAGATTGGAAGGGAGTTAACCACTATAGGATGTACTGATGCTGAGAAGGTGCGCTTTGCCGCACATCAGTTGGATGGACCAACAGCATCATGGTGGGAGAATTACACTGTCACCTGCCCTATAGCCACGGTGACATGGGACCAATTTCAGCAGGCTTTCCGTTCTGCCCATGT